ATACGTACATTTTAATTAATTTCTTAAGGTACTTATTGTTATATAAGTGTGAGTTCATGAGTCATCATAGAAGCGCCTTTTGGATTTAAGCAAGACGATAAAATTGTAAAGCCCAAAAATATTGAGGTGATTTCGAAATATCAAACCAAATTAGACAATACCCCGAGAATTGTGCTTTGACCATGACATAATGCTTATATATATTTATTTTGCAAATACATAAATAAGTCCTTTTTAGTACCCATACTTGTTCTTCATAGTCATAATTATTGTCACACATATATTCTTTCCAATAGAACTATAGAAGATGACAAGTTTATTGTGTGGTGGGAATTAATTAATTAGTGAGCTAATAATCCAATTTCTGATATCCATTTGCACCATAAATATTGGCTTTAATTTCTAATATCAAACATAAATAATTGGATCAATAATGAAGATATATAATCATTTCCTATATATATATATATCATTTTATGTTTTACTTCAGTTGAGTATTTATATTGAAAATAACATTTATATAAAAATTATTTTTCTCAGATCCTACTTATAATTATACTGAATATGTTACTATTATCGTAGGGTCATGTGAATTTCCCCTATCCACTCTTTTTCCTACCTCTCCCACAAAAAGGGAAAACAACAACAAAACACCAATATCATATGCTATGCTGGATGCCATTATATATGTTTCATTGGCCCAATAAAATATCAATGCATGTGGTAATAATAATATTCAGAAGGTTAATATTCCTTTCTGATTTCATGTGTAAATGACTAGCTACTTGAAAAAGAATGCTTGCTGTGAATGATCCATCATCATTTGTTCTTATCACTTTCTTTTTGTTTTGGTCTTCCTATTCATCATCACCAACACAACATATTCAGAGAAATCTTATGAAGTGAGGTTTGCATATAAGAGAATAGAGTGTACGTAGATTTCATCTTTACCTCTTAGAGACAGATGTCTAACTGCTTCTGAAAGACTCTCGGCTTAAGTGAAGCAAATCAAAATAGTAATGGTCTAATGGAGAGGAAAAGCATGAAAAGTAATTGCAAAGCAATGCAGAGCATATATGCAAGGCGTTGTATATAACATCATCAACAAAGTGCGACCGTCTAAACATAATAAACAACATAGGATTGATAACATATACTATAAGCCAAAAACTACATGAATAAGTTAATATTACGACATATACGATGCTCTAGACTACCACTAAGTTAAAGACTATAAAAATAGGTTAATACTAAGACAACGCTCGACTACCTACTTATAACTCTCTACTCTTATTCACGACCTCCACAATACTATCCTATCTATTGTTTAATATTCACTTTAAAATTTGATTAATTCATATTCATACCAGAAAGGTCAACATTGGTGGTAAAAAGTCCTATCAAAGATAATTTCATTATCAGGATTTGAGCAAGTTTTCTAATTAATAATTAAGAAGTACTTACCAATTCATCACAATTTTTGATTTCGACCTATATTTTATGCAATTCCTCTAACTAAAAGGAACAATAGTTACTACTCTCTATATTTCAATTTATGTGAACCTGTTTAATTAAATACAATTTTTAAAAAATAAAATAAAATATAATTCTAAATATATCATAATCTTTATATGACTATACAAGACAATAGGAGAGGTGAGCAATGAGGTCAATGAGAAATTAAATTCCTAGTTTATAGTGCCCCCACTTTGTTTAAAAAATAATACTAATTATATTATTAATAAGTAAAAGGCTACATTTGATGTCTACGACTGCTAATTCATATATTCTCTTTGAGTGCAACTTAATTAATCACCAATAAGATTGAAAAGCTCAACAAAAAATTCCACTTCCCCTTAATTCTTTTCTTTAAAATAGTTAACAGTGTATATGCTTTCCCACTGTGTCAAATCTTATTATAATGCTAATCTTAATTAATGGAAGTTTAATTCTTGGTCTTAATCATCAGAGTTTTGTCATTACTCTTATGCAATTGTTTGTATGATCCTAAATGAGTTTTGGACTTTTCTGGAATTTGGAAATGTGGAAAGTGCCATTTGCCACTACTTAATTATTTGTTAGTCAAGAGGGATATATATTGTGACACGGCTAGAAATAAAGGTTTTTTCCACTGCGAATCAAAATTATGAAATATGATTTTTCCATCTATCTTCCACCGAATCAATTCATTGGGAAGAGACACGGTGGGAAATAGATTTTCGCTGAAATATTGAAAAACTTTCTAATTTTTTCGGGTAAAAACACTATTTTTTTTTATTTTTCTCGCTGATTCAATCAAAATATATGTGAGAATAGTTGTTGAACGTTTCATAATAGAAAAATAGTGATTTGTTTTTAGTAGTGTGGTAAATCATGGCCTAGTTGCTAGAAATTTTGTTGTGTTAATTCACAGTCTATATATTTAGTGACTATGAATGATCATGGTTAACGTATAATAATTGGTTAAAAACTAATTGCTCACTTTCAATAGTATTTTTTTATGTTGCCTCTTGACGTTAATTCTTGTTCAGAATGACATCATGATATTAGATATAAAATTGGTGTATGTAAAAACATTTTGTACCAATATAGTTTAATGATACAATTTGGGATTTTCATGAAAATTAGGAAGATGATCTAAGGTGTTTTTTGATATTTTTTTAATAATCAGGAAAATATTATTCTAAAAATATTTCTATATACAAACCTTATAAGGGTGACTGGGTGAGGATGGAGTGGGGTGGTTGTTTTCTAAACTAATATCATGAAAGTCTCTTTTCTCAATTTTGAAAAAAAAAATATAATTTTTTTTAATAGAAAGTGTTTTTAAAATTTCGACCAACAAAATATGAAAAAATTTGAACACATTCTTTGAAAAATGTTTCATCTGTCAAAACACACCCTCATTCAAGATATCCATATTAACTAACTTATCCATAACTTTGAAGAAATTAACAAAAAAAGGTGTGGTGAAAAAAGAAAAGGAATCCAAGGTTAGATAGATATGAGAGGGATAAAAGCTTAACATAATATTCTTTAATTTTGTGTTGTGATTGGTCCCATAGCTTTTTTGTAATAATAAAACTTTAGATTTGGGAAGAGATATTAGCCAATTGACAATTCTCAATTACATTACTTGTACAGTTCTTAGATTTTATTCTCCAAAATAGAAAGTGTTTTTTGACTCTCCTTCCATCATTTAATAGGAAAGTGTTTTCTATTCAATATGTGGTATGTCTGATTAATTTTGAATTGACGTTGAAAAGTTTCATATTAGGGATAAAACATTTCTTAACAAAGTTGATTTCATACCTGAGGGGATTTGAATTCTCGAGACTACTTCTGATTAAGAATGAACATGTACTTATCACTCCACGGCAAGCCTGATGGTAACATAGAAAGTGTTTTGATACACCTATTGTGTGAAGACTTCTTCCAATATAATTTAGATTATAAGTTTTTGGTATAATGTTTCATGACATGTTATATCCTTATATACATAGCTACTACAAAGTAGTAGACTTTATGAAGGGTACTTTCTAGAAGATATCTAGCTAGGCTTAAATAAGTTGTGTGATAGAAAATTCTACAACACTTGTTAATACATGGTTCATATATATTAATAATGGAATTATGGATATACTTAAACACAATTTTCACTTGGTGTGATTTAATTTTTAATTCTCCAATAATTGGTGATGTAGAGGTAGTATCCTCAATTATCTACTAACACTACATTTAGAAATAGTTTTTTTTTCCTGAAACAATAAGAAATTTGTGTTATAACATAGGAGTATATATTTTTGTCTCCATCTTCATCAAATTCACTGAAAAAAAGATATGATGAAAAACAAATTCTCATTGAAATACTTGAAAATATTTATGAAAATTGTAGAAAATTTATCTTGCACTAATCACTAGTATTACATAAACATGTACAAATATAAAATACAAAACCATTAACGAGGAAGCATAATTGATGAGTGTGACAATTAAAATTAAGAAAAATGAATTGGAAGGGTTCAAGTCCAATTATTCTCAATGAAAGAAATCTTTTGATTATTATTATTAATAATAATATTGCTTTTAACAAAGAATGAATGCTAGTCACACCTTTTTCAAATTCAAAAAGAATAGGTCAAACTCCCTCTTCCTTTTGTTTTGTGATTCCTCTAGCCATTTATGTTTGGACGTAAAAATTGTGATTTTTTAAAAAAAATTACTATTATATTTTATTTTCAAGATAAAAATGGCAGTTGAAATTGTGTTTGAACATAAATACAAATTAAAATTTCCTTTGAGTGATTTGAAGAGAAAATTATGAAAATCGTTTTTTTAGAGTTTCAAATTCCAGTTTTGAAATTCAACTACAAAATTATAACAATTTTGTGTTCAAACGATTTTTTTTTGGAATAAAGTTTCGAAAAAAGTGAGAATTATCTTGTGTCAAACGAGCATTAATTATATTAAAAATCCTTAATTGGACCCTTTTCACCTTTCATTGCACGCTTTTTTTTTTAATTAAAAAAAAAAGTAGTGTTTTTTTTTAGGGAAGGAAATAAAGAAACAAAGGATAAACTATAAAGGATAGTTTGGTACATGAGATAAGTTAGGATATCCTAAGATTAAGTTTGAATTAGTTTTATACTCTGTTTGATTGACGATATAAATTTATTCCAAACTTAATCGTGATATATCCCATCTAATGGAAACGGAGACTAATTATATTTACAATCCTTAAATTAATGGAAACCCTTTAGGTGTAACTATCCATCAACCAAAAGTATACGATCTGATGAGATAGATGAGACTCTTTCACTGTTAGTTAAAGTTTTCTTCTTCGGTTCTTAAAAAAGAAAAAAAAAATCCTAATAACTATATAGTCAGACTAGTAAGTTCCGGATATATAACAAAATACTTACAACAAAAGATGTTATTCCCATTGCTTATATAAAACCTTGTCATTGAAACACAAAGAAACCACATTACACTCAAACCAAAAAAATGTTTTTGTTCACTTACCTTAATTCTCTGTCCAAAACACCTCAAAAGCTAAAGAAAAGGATGTTAGCAACATGGACACCAGACCAAGAACTCAACAAAGTGAGACTAAGGTCTGGTGCTGACATGAAGAGGAAACTTACATGGTATGATTTAGTAGCTCTTGGAGTTGGAGGAATGCTTGGTGTTGGAGTTTTTGTTACTACTGGACCCGTTGCTCGAAAAACCTCTGGCCCTTCTGTTTTCATCTCTTATATAATTGCTGCTGTATCTGCCCTTCTATCTTCCTTGTGTTATACTGAGTTCTCTGTTGCTGTCCCTGTTGCTGGTGGCGCTTTTAGTTATCTCCGAGTTACTTTTGGTAAGGATTTAACTTATATATACTGACTGACACGTCATCTAAAGATATCAGGTAGGGTTGATTTCTCAGACTGTCACTCAACTAATAGTTATTATGTTAGAAAATCACTTTACTTCTTGATTCCAATTTTTTCAACAAAAGTGACTTTTTGAGAAAATAACGGTTAGTTGAGTGACTATCTGAGAAACTAATTCGATGAAGGTAGATAGCAAGTTAGTATAGTACTCCATGTTGTTATAGATATTAACATGATGAAATTAAATGGATGCAGGGGAATTTGTAGGATACTTTGCAGGAGCAAATATATTAATGGAATATGTGTTATCAAATGCTGCTGTTTCAAGAAGTTTTACAGAGTATTTGTCATGTGCTTTTGGTAGGAATGATCCAAATTCATGGAGAATTCATGCACATGGTTTAATGCAAGGTTACAACATGTTGGATTTCCCGGCAGTTGCGTTGATTATTGTCCTCACTATTTGCTTGTGTCATAGGTATGTTCGCTATACAGTCATATCTCTTTATAACAACGTTATTTGTTCAGATAGAAAATAACTGTTATAGAGACGTCTGACTGTACTATAATTTGAGTACTTTTTAGTGGTTTTTTGATAATGATAGATCTATTTTGCAGCACTAAAGAGAGCTCAATGTTGAACCTAATGATGACAGCCTTCCATGTGGTGTTTTTTGGATTTATAATAATAGCTGGATTTTGCAATGGGAAGGTTGAAAACTTAGTAAAACCAGGAGGAATAGCTCCATATGGTGTTAGAGGGATTCTTGATGGAGCAGCCATAGTTTACTTTAGTTATATTGGATATGATACAGTGTCAACCATGGCTGAAGAAATTAAAAACCCTTCAAAGACTCTACCTTTGGGAATTGTTGGCTCTGTCCTCATTGTATCTGCCCTCTATTGCCTCATGGCTCTATCTTTATGCCTTTTGTTACCTTATAACATGGTACGTACGTCATTCAACTGACTTATATACACTGACAGTATAAAGAATTTATCAATGAAATTTTACTTGTTATATGTATCAGATTGTCTGGTGTATAGAAGTTTAACTCGTTTATAAATGTTTGTAGATCCCAGAAGGAGCATCATTTTCCGCGGTTTTCGAGTTGATGGGGTGGAAATGGGCAAGCAATGTAGTAGGGGCAGGTGCAAGTTTAGGGATTGTAGCATCTCTATTAGTAGCCATGCTTGGACAAGCAAGGTACCTTTGTGTCATTGGGAGGGCTAGACTTGTACCTTCATGGTTTGCTAAAGTACATCCTACTACCGGCACGCCACTAAATGCTACCATCGTCTTAGGTAAGTAGTATCATTACGTTGAAATTTATTAGATATAAAAATAATTTTATAGTAGCCACTTGTCAAAATTAAAGGGAGAAGTTGTATTTTTTTTTGTAATTTTGTATGTTTGTGGTGGCTATTTTTTTTCTTTTTTTTTTATTCATTTGTTTTTCTTAGTGATAATCGTATAATCCTATTAATTAAAACACCTTTTTGGGAAAGCTTATATCACAAGGAACATGCAAGGGCCAATTAATTAAGTCGAGCTAATTAAAAAAAGTAAAATCCTATAATATATACTCTGTTCCAATTTATGTGACTTACTTTCTATTTTAGTCAGTCTCAAAAAGAATGACGCATGTCTATATTAAATAATAATTTAACTATAAAATATCTATTTTACCCTTAATGAAATGATTTACAGTCACACAATTTTTTATCATTCATTTTGGACCACAAGTTTTAAAAGTCTTCTTTTCTTTCTTAAACTTCATGCCGAGTCAAACTACCTCACATAAAATGGGACGGAGGGAGTATATTAGTTGAAAGAAAAAAAAAGTATCCCTCCTTTTCCTAGATTCCCCCTTTTTGAATATTTATGGTCTGTTTTGCTAGTATTTATAGGCATCAAAGAATAACTTTATTTAAACTCTAAAACAAGAAGAAAATTTTCAATACGCATCTTCTCATAGTTTTTAGAATATAGTCAACATCGAAGTCAACATGATTCAAAATATGAATAAGTAAATACACAAAGAATTCGAAATTGTTCAATATCTATTATATATACATAAAATAATTTTAATCACGTTTATAATTTTTCGTTGAATGAAGTTCCGGTCTACCTAGCTCCGCCCTTGACTATAGTAAGTTTAATGCTAAGAATCTTAATCATTGAACTCACAGAATTTAAATCCTACATCCGCCTCTATGCAATGCACGTAATCTAACAAAACATCTTCTTCTCAATTCTTATCATATGGCTTTTGTACAATAATTTTGTTTCTATTTTTCAGGTATATGTCAAGCATCAATTGCATTATTCACAGAGCTTGATATTGTAATTGAGATGATCTCCATTGGCACATTACTAGTATTTTACTTAGTATCAAATGCACTTATATTTCGTCGATATGTTATACTTAGCAAAAATCCACCACTTCACACTCTCTTATTCCTCTTCCTTCTTTCATCCACCTCTTTTGCATTCTCATTATCATGGAAATTCAAACTACATTGGTGGAACCTCATGTTGTTCGCGGGACTTACATTTTCTGCGACAGTCATTTTCCAGTATTTTGTCCCTATGATCATTACGGAACGACAAGAGAGTTGGTTGGTCCCGTTCATGCCATGGCCCGCTACGATATCGATTTTCCTAAATGTTTTTCTCATGACAACATTGAAAATGGTGGCATATAAAAGATTTGGTATATGGGCTTGTGTTATAACAATGTTTTATGTACTATATGGTGTCCACTCAACATATCATGCTGAAGAAATAGTGGAAATGGTTGTTGTTGATAATGTGAATGTCAATTCTTCCACTCAACAACAAATTACTAAGGTTGATATTCAACTTGTTTAATATATAGTACAAAATTTCATTGCCTAGGCATGTTTAGTGCTCTATATATACAGTAAAAGTAAAAAAAAATGATTTTTTTACTGGACAAGGGTAAGGTGGAATGTCCCCCCTTGTCATGTATATATATTTGGTTATGATATATAAGGGAGGCGTCACCGGAAGGCGTAGTTAATTTCTCAGACAATCACTCAACAATTAGAAAGTCAGACAATTTTATTTTGTAACACAAAAATTACTCAAGTAATGATAATTATACATGTTTATTTATAGCGAAACAATAATTTTGCATAGACGTATATATATATATATATATACTATATAACTAGCTTTATTAGTTTGAAAGAAACCTAATCTTCATCATTTTTATCATCATCCTCATATATAATTTGTCCTTCACATATTTAATCTTTAGCGTATCATACCATAATCATTAGATCGCAAAGAAGATTGACAGAAAAATATCATCCCGAGGCGTTGGAAATTCAGATCGGCTCAGAAAATCACTCTTGCTATTTAGTCCGGTCATTTTCGATGTGGGAAAGAATCTTCTTGAAAGACATCTAGCGAAAGAGGACTAGGGCATCCCGACAATTATATACCTGCTAATCCAATGTCCACCCCGCCGGCAACTGAATGGATTTCTTTTTCGGGTTCCTTTAGTTGTCTCTATGTCCCTAGCGGGCTGCGATTTTATAAAAATAGTTGGGAGACATGGTCCAAGCCTGGTGAAAAAATGAAATAAAAAAGATTATGATGTAAAAATCTTGCGACCTTGTTTTTTCGATTTCCCGATTTTTCGATTACTGCATGTTGATTATATAAGTATGATATATTTATATATTCTATTTTTTTTCTTTTTTAATGGCATCATCCTAATTACTCCTCCATTTCAGTTTATATGAACTCACTCTTTTCGGTATTTTCTAAAAATAACGATACATTTTTTTAATTTAAAAACTATTAATTCTAATTACATGTTTTATTTTGCTCTTAATGAAACTTTTTTTTAATAACTAAAGGAATGTTATGGCATATTTAAAGTTACAAATTCCAAAATATTTAGGGGTCGTTTGGTAGGAAGTATTAGGAGAAATAGTCCATGTATTATGTATGGTATTATATAATACTATGTTTGGTAAGAATTTGGACCTATGTATTACACCCTACATGGCATTAGAGGATGTATTACTAATACCTTCTATTTGGAGGTATTAGTAATACATATGATTTAATACCATGGGATAAGTTTATGTAAAGACAAAAATATCCCTCAAATCATTTTGATCATTTTGTTTATTTTCTTGATTTTATGTTTTATATTTGTATTAGCAAATTAATTTAAATAAATTAGCATATAAATTATAGAGAGAGTTGTTTGTTACTAAATAAATTCAATACAATTTTTGAAATGTGAATTTAACATTTACTAATTAAAAAGGTAAATATATCACCACATGATGTTTCTTAATTGAATGTATAATATATGTGAGTGTGGTTTTCTAATTATTTGTATTTTGAACAATTTATAAAATTGCATACATATTAAAACTATAACTTGCAATTTTTATGTGTAAATGTAGATGGTTTACTCAATTTTACTAAGTATTGTTTACCATCTTAGCGGTTTTAAAAGTAGATGATTTATCTTTTTTAAATTGAAAAATGTCATTTTGTGAGTGCTAAATTTATTAAAATGACAATTATTTATCCTCAAATAATTCAAGTGAAAAAATAGCAATCATGACAACAAAATTGTTCTTCACCAAGCTAGAAAAAATAACATTGTCCGGCAATTATCTACCTTGACCCAATTACATAATAATACAAGGGTATAATTGTAAATAAAGCTTTTTATAGAGTTTTAATCCAAACACAAGATGAAGTAGGAAATAATGAATCAAATACTTGATAAAAATAAATCTTGCATTACTAATCACTTCACTATTAATCTCTGCATTACTAATATATGCATTACTAATCCCTGCGTTATTAATCTTTGTGCCAAACGACCCCTTATAGTCATACAAAATTACGAATGTTTTAGATCATAAATCTAAAAAAAAAAACATTTCTTTCTTTTAACTTTAACTTTGTGACATTTCAAACTGCATATAAAGCGGATCTGTATGGTAGCAAGGGAATTCACCTGAACCCGCTTAGCGAAAAATTCATTTTATATCATGACCAAATATATATACATGATGATAATTGACAAGGGGGGACATTCCACCTTACCCTTGTCCAGTAAAAAAATCATTTTTTTACTTTTACTGTATATATAGAGCACTAAACATGCCTAGGCAATGAAATTTTGTACTATATATTAAACAAGTTGAATATCAACCTTAGTAATTTGTTGTTGAGTGGAAGAATTGACATTCACATTATCAACAACAACCATTTCCACTATTTCTTCAGCATGATATGTTGAGTGGACACCATATAGTACATAAAATATTGTTATAACACCAGCCCAAATCCCAAATCTTTTATATGCCACCATTTTCAATGTTGTCATGAGAAAAACATTTAGGAAAATCGATATCGTAGCAGGCCATGGCATGAACGGGACCAACCAACTCTCTTGTCGTTCCATAATGATCATAGGGACAAAATACTGGAAAATAACTGTCGCGGAAAATGTAAGTCCCGCGAATAACATGAGATTCCACCAATGTAGTTTGAATTTCCATGATAATGAGAATGCAAAAGAGGTGGATGAAAGAAGGAAGAGGAATAACAGAGTGTGAAGTGGTGGATTTTTGCTAAGTATAACATATCGACGAAATATAAGTGCATTTGACACTAAGTAAAATACTAGTAATGTGCCAATGGAGATCATCTCTATTACAATATCAAGTTCTGTGAATAATGCAATTGATGCTTGACAAATACCTGCAAAATAGAAATAAAAATTAAACTTCGTGTCAAGGCAAAATCAGACAAATAAAATTGAAACAGAGGGAATAAAAGTTATTCTTTGATGCATATTAAACATTAGTTTGTTAAAAAAATGAGAAGAAAAAAGGAGGAAGACTTTCTTGTGATATAAGCTTTGCTAAAAAAGGTAATTTATTCTTCCAAATATATATATGACTATTTTGAAGATAATATATAGTTAACTAACTAATCTACTTTAATCATCACCAAGGAAACCAAATGAATAAAAAAATGAAAAAAATACAACAACCACAAACAAGCAAACACACAAAAAAGTTATTGTTAGTTGATTGATTCAATCAATTAAAAGTGTATTTTTTTTCTAATAATTTAAATTTTTAGATGAAATGATACGACTGATCTTTAGTACTGTTACTTACCTAAGACGATAGTAGCATTTAGCGGTGTGCCAGTAGTAGGATGTACTTTAGCAAACCAAGAAGGTACAAGTCTAGCTCTCCCAATGACACAAAGGTACCTTGCTTGTCCAAGCATGGCTACTAATAGAGATGCTACAATCCCTAAACTTGCACCTACCCCTACTACATTGCTTGCCCACTTCCACCCCATCAACTCGAAAACCGCTGAAAATGATGCTCCCTCCGGGATCTACAAACATTTATAAACGAGTTAAACTTCTATACACCAGACAATCGGATAGATATAACAAGTAAAATTTCATTGATAAATTCTTTATACTGTCACTCTGTCAGTGTATATAAGTCAATTGAACGACGTACGTACCATGTTATAAGGTAGCAAAAGGCATAAAGATAGAGCCATGAGGCAATAGAGAGCAGAGACAATGAGGACAGAGCCAACAATTCCCAAAGGTAGAGTCTTTGAAGGGTTTTTAATTTCTTCAGCCATGGTTGACACTGTGTCATATCCAATATAACTAAAGTAAACTATGGCTGCTCCATCAAGAATCCCTCTAACACCATATGGAGCTATTCCTCCTGGCTTTACTAAGTTTTCAACCTTCCCATTGCAAAATCCAGCTATTATTATAAATCCAAAAAACATCACATGAAAGGCTGTCATTATTAGGTTCAACATTGAGCTCTCTTTAGTGCTGCAAAATAGATATATCACTATCAAAAACCACTAAAAAGTACTCAAATTATTGTTCAGTCAGACGTTTCTATAACAATCATTTTTTATTTGGATATATGACGTTGTTATAAAGAGATTTGACTGGATAGCGAACATACCTATGACACAAGCAAATAGTGAGGACAATAATCAACGCGACTGCAGGGAAATCCAACATGTTGTAACCTTGCATTAAACCATGTGCATGAATTCTCCATGAATTTGGATCATTCCTACCAAAAGCACATGACAAATACTCTGTAAAACTTCTTGAAACAGCAGCATTTGATAACACATATTCCATTAATATATTTGCTCCTGCAAAGTATCCTACAAATTCCCCTGCATCCATTTAATTTCATCATGTTAATATCTATAACAACATAGAGTATATAAACCTTCTAGCTACATTAATTCATCGAGTTGGTTTCTCAGATGGTCACTCAACTAACAGTCATTATCATTTATCTCAGAAAGTCACTTTCTTCGTTGAAAAAAATTGGAATCAAGAAGTAAAGTGACTTTCTAACATAATAACTATTAGTTGAGTGACAGTCTGAGAAACCAACCCTACCTGATATCTTTAGATGACGTGTCAGTCAGTATATATAAGTTAAATCCTTACCAAAAGTAACTCGGAGATAGCTAAAAGCGCCACCAGCAACAGGAACATCAACAGAGAACTCAGTATAACACAAGGAAGATAGAAGGGCAGATACAGCAGCAATTATATAAGAGATGAAAACAGAAGGGCCAGAGGTTTTTCGAGCAACGGGTCCAGTAGTAACAAAAACTCCAACACCAAGCATTCCTCCAACTCCAAGAGCTACTAAATCATACCATGTAAGTTTCCTCTTCATGTCAGCACCAGACCTTAGTCTCACTTTGTTGAGTTCTTGGTCTGGTGTCCATGTTGCTAACATCCTTTTCTTTAACTTTTGAGGTGTTTTGGACAGAGAATTAAG